TGCAAAAAAAATTGTGTAGGCAGAATTAGACCAGAATTTGCTTTTGCAGTACAGTTCAGCAGTGGCCAACATATATCAATACTGCTTTAGCCAGAGATTCCAAAAGACCACCATATAGGCTACTATGAACACAGTCAGCTCCATCCCAGTCACACTCAGTGCACCCCGGTGTAGACACAGACAATAGTATTAATATATTCTGAAATTAATATGGTACTTTAGAGGGGCCTTCATCCATTATGGAGTTCTGGATCGAGAAATACTTTCCCTTCAGCGGTCATGTCTGTATTGTACAGTAAGACTGTTTTTTCCCACTCATCAGGCAGAAGGTCATAGAACTGGCAGGGTGAGAAATTACAGACTGAGAACAATATTCCTCCAAGGCCAAACCTCTTATGGTCTCCAAGGACCATGGTTTTTCAGGCACATGTCAAACACCAGAGCACTGGGGAGAAGAATTTTCTTAGAAAGTTTCATAGTGATACCAAACAAACCCTACCTTTTGCCTTCATTATTATTTTCAGAATGACCAGTCAGAGAAATGAAGGTGAAAGACATTCAAATTTCTGGTGGTGGTAAATTACACCTACCGTGCTTGTAGTTCACGGATGAAATACAACAGGAAAGAGACAAGACGTGGCAGGGGTTCAAAAGCATTGAGTGCCTAAGGCAACCTTCAAATCAAGGTTCAAAAAGCCATACCAAGTAAATGCTTTGAATACTTTTATTGCTGCCACACTTTACTGCTTCCAAAGGGAGGGCCTGGAGAGAGTATCTGAGGAGAAGAGTGTGGGACAAATCTCTACATATCTCCATGCCCAACATCTGTATGGAGACTTGCTCAGGACATGAACATGGCCTGTGGGTTTCACTGCCTTCATGGCAGCCAAGAGCCTTCCCTCATGGTGGTGTTTAGGCATTGGAGATGGAGTTACTGGAGACATGTTTCAGGAAAGTAGGGGATTCAGCACTGAGCTGTGTCTGGCTTGGGACCTGATGGCTGGGAACAGAGGTCTGTGACACCTCCTGGAGTGTGGCCCCACTATCAGCCTTCTCATGCAGCTGAGGGAAGGCATCATGCTGGACTTCTGATTTACACTGCCCATCATCCAACTCTTTAGACAATGGGAGTTTCCATGGCTAAGAAATAGCCATAATCAAATAAGCTCCATTAAGTCTGTTCACTTGTTGGAGAAGATCTCTAAACAGGAAAGGCCCATTAGAATTTTTTCCAGTTGTCTTGCTGAAGCAGTGTGGTGTTTTTTCTTGGGTTCCAGAATATAGATACCAAGAAATGTCAGTGGAACTTGATAGCAACATATTGTTTATGCCTTACTCCTTTCTACCAAGCATTGTGCTCTCTTTGTGCAGAAAGAAGCAGAACCTGCTCTACCCTTCAGGGGAACATTGGCCAAAGTAGAGAATGTTCTTGCTTGGATTGTATTTGATCAACAAGAGGAACAGGTGGTCAGCTCTGAACTCATAAGGAATTATGGAGGCAAACCATTCTTTTGGTCACCCCTGTAGCAGCAGCTGCCTCAGTTCCTTCTTCATTAATTTCTACAAAGAAAACTCTTCCCCTATCTGTTCCAGCTAGCTCCACAGTCACTTTAATCTCCTCCATTTTTTTTTTTCCTAAAGGCTATACTCTGTGTAAACACAGTCATGTAGTCAATATCCTGGATTTTTTGCAAGAACTGCTGCTATAGAAGCACTGACCAAGCTTCAGACACTGTGGTTCACTGAAATACATCATACTGGATGTGGATTTTTCCCACAACACCACAGGGAGTTAGACATTGGTATGAGAGCATAGCTGAGGTTCTTAGTTCTGGATATTTGCTGCAGCTATGGATCTGATTTTCTGTACCCTAGGCCTAGCCCACATGTTTCAGCAGAACAGTGAGGGGAGCTTGAGGCATCGATGGTTATGGCTTGAAATGTATGTTGGCCTCCTGAGGCTTTTGTTGAGCTCCACAGTCATTGTCAGTCTGCACCTCTGGAAGGTTTGCACCAAGCAAACCAACAAGCAAATAAGGCAGCAAGGTGGAGTTTTTTCTGTCTGGGGTACAAGAGATACACCACAGGCCCCTGGGCATGACTTCCAGGATCCTTCATATTAATCACCATTCATAAACAAGGAAATGGCTGCACACTGCCAAGCACTCATCCTTCTACCCTGGAGGCTGCTCTGCATCACAAGCAGCAGTCAGCTTTTTCACAGTGTTTCCTCCTGGTGGCTGGAGGGTGGCTGTGGGCTGAGCAAAGCCTATATTTTAGGCCAACACGCACTGTGCTCAGCACTGCTCTGGGCAAAATATTGCATTTCTCATGGAAGACCAGCAGGTGAACTCACTGAGCAAAATGCGCTAAGCCCCCACTAGATAATATGCAATGATTGTATGATTATAAACTGAAAATATGACTGAGGGGACTTTTCCTCTTATGAAACTCTAGTTTGAGAAAGCCTTTCCCCACAGTGGTCATCCCACTGCAATTTAGTAAGATGATTCCTCACTGGGCAAGCTGAGGGCTGTGGAAAAGGCAGGACTGGTCATTGCTGGCCCACTTTTGGGAGAGTTTCGTGCTGACAGATTGCAGGGGAGAGAAGTGAGAGGCAGCAGAGCGGGCTATAGTGGGGGTCTCTTGGAAAAGGAGCTGTCAGGGTAGGAGTGGAAACAGAGCAGCCGCTGGTCCTGTGAGGTTGCAGGCTGCAACTAGGGCTGTGCCAAAAGCTACCTGCCTCATGAGGCATTGCACAAGAAAATAAGGCATCCATCAGAACTGGCGAGAGAGGTCCTTTGGGGCTGCTTTTCCAGCATGTTTAAAACTGTCGGTAAGTGTGTGGAAAAGCTGGACTCTGTTTCCAAACTGTAGCACTCAAGTGAGGGAGGATTGCAAAATAATCTTGGAGATGTGTAGGTGGCAGTGCTCTTACACAAAAGCTGTGACTTGCCATCCCATGACTAAGAATATCTAATTTCATGCCTGAGGATTCAGATGAAAAAGCTGCACAGCAGCACTCTCTGAAGAGCTGAGAGGAAGCTCACAGCTGACCTACTTCATTCACTATGTTATTTTCTAGGCAGATATTAAGAAAGTGAAGAAAAATTCATGCTATCAGAAAAATTTAGACTAAAATTCTTCCATAGCATTCTAGTTACGATAGATACCCACATACAGATAATTTTTCCTCTGTTACTGGACTAAAACAGGAATGGCACCAGATCCTGGAAACTAGAACTGATCTATTATACAGTTATTGACTGCAAAATTATCAGTCCTGGAATTCCCTTCTTGTGCCTTTAAGATGCATGCCTTCACATAAGGACTTCAAAATGAAGGTGGGCAGTTTTGCCCTGCAGCCAATATTAAAGCCTAGTGCCTGAGATCACTTGGTGCATTGAGAGCTGCAGAGTTGAATTCCAACAAGGATATGGGATACAGGCCTTTCACCTCCTGAGGCACATTAATTTCTCCACCACAGAAGTCAGGTACTATTTTGAATTTAAAAAAAACCAAAAACCAAAAAACAAACAACAAAAAACAAAAAACAAAAAAAACCAAAAAACAAAAACAAAAACAAAACAAAAAAAAAACACAAACAAACAAAAAAAACCCCACCAGAATATAAAAGAGTCCTTGTAATAGCTTTTTCAGGAGCTCTATTTGAACAGCTTTCTCAAGGTCTACTTTGAATCCATTCACTAGATGTTCTTCAGGAATTTACACCTCATCTTACCTTGCTCCTGAATTTCAATATGGGCAAAGTATCTAACTGCTCACATCAAGATAGCTCAGAGCAAGCAAAGGAAAATGCTAGCTGCTAGAAAATTCACAGAAGGAGAAAATAAAATGCTTACAAATGTTGAATGAGGGGATTTTACTTTCAGATGGCTTTTTGGATGTACAAATTTAAAGCCAGCCTATATTCTATTTAGGAGAGACATGTCATTTTTAGTGTGTCTTCTCCTTTCTGAAGTCATATATAATTCTGTGCATTGAACATGTTATTCACTGATTCTCCATTATATATAAATTTAGAAAGCACATTACAAATGTTAATTTGTTAAACCTCATCCCTCTGAGGAAGATGTCTCTTATGTTAAACCAGGAAATTATCAGTAATGTCTCCCTATCAGCTGGAAATAAGTTTAATTTTTTTCCCACAAGCATTCCCAGGCAATGTTTAACTGTGGTTTCCATGATTTATACCTTTCCTCATTCTTCAAAGCATAGAGAGAGCTCTGTCTCTCAGATTTTCATCTTAGAACTTCTAAATTCACCACTCAGAAACATGGGAAAAGGAAAACACATTTCTTGGAAATTCATTGCTACAGTGTTCCACATCGGTAACTTCAGTGGGATGCTTTGGACCATTTTCTTTCTGTTCTTTGAAACCTTGAGATAAATAGTTTGATTTACCCCCATATAAAAGACAGCCTTCTATACTATGTAAATAATTAACCATCTTTAGAAATACATGTGTTTGTGTCCTGTTCCTGCAGACACTATGCATATAAAATTCTCTTTGGAGTTATTTCAGAACTTAACACAGACTTAGGAGAGGTTGTCCAGACAGGTGGTGGAGTCTCCATCTTTGGAGATATCCAAAAGGAATCTGGACTTGGTCTTGGGCAACCAGCTGTAGATGGCCCTGCTCGTGCAGGGGAGGAGGACCAGATGACCTCCAGGGGTCCCTTCCCACCTCAACCCTACTGTCACCATGAGCACATATGCACATCAAGGAAACAAAGTGCTATCCATATCCAGTGAGTTAAGGTAAAATTTACTCATATTCTGGATTCAGATCAATATTTACAATTCAAGGAGTCTAGTGGCAGAGCATTCGATTCATAGGTTCTAAATAAACTGGCTGCAGTGACTATTTTAAAGTACAAACTAGCCATCAAAGGATTAAGAAAGCTTTTGGGAGAAAAATACAATTTCAGCTTTTCATCCAGGTGTTCCTCACAGTGTGTTAGAAAATGGCCCTGACTTTAAGGTGAACAGAGTTTGCCAAAGAAAACGATAGCATTGGTAGGATTGTGTCTAATAAAGAATAAGAAAGGGTGATTAGCCATGAACACCTCTGTGAGAGGCAGAGACCTCCTCACAATGGAAGCTCCCGTGCCAGCTGCTGCCACGGTGCCTTCCTCATTGACTTCCACATACGCCTTATGGACAACGTTTGACAGCACCAGTGATTTTGCAAACGTCATTGCAGAAAGGTCAACTTTTGATTCAGTGAAGATGTCAGTCATCCCCATCTCTTGTAAAACCTCGTTGAGGTTAAAGGTGCCTTCCAGCTTGAATCGGGGCAGGTAAACCTCCACTGTTGTCTCAAACATGTTCTCTGAGGAGGCCCACAGCATTACATTTTCATAGGTGATTGTGCTTTCAATCTATAAGATGGGGGGAAAGGAGATTAAAATAGGTGGGGAGCTTTGAAAAATCGAGATCTTTACCCATTGTTAATTCAGACAAGTGGCTCCCAGCCCTAGTCCGTGACGTGTACTGCCTTACCTGCTCCAGCCCACTGACAGATCCATCAGCCACATCCCCTGGCAGCAGGATGATCATGCTCAGTGACTTCTGAGCATAAGGAAGTTCAAGGATCTGGGCGCCCACCTCTTCAACGTAGCCCAGTTTAAATTTGCCTTTCTGATACATCATCTGCACAGGTTTCTTTCTGTTCTATTGAAAAGAAAATTACACAGTCAGTTAGGCAATACAGATCTTACCAGCACCTCTACCCAACAGGGGGGATAACTTAAGTTCCCAACACACCCACAGCTTACACACAGGGCAGCTCAGCCCCGGACATTGTTATGCTTGCTGCAATGCTGACAGTATCTAAGGTGAATAATGTTAAGATTTACAGAACGCAGATGTACCTGATTCAGTTTAAAATCCCTCTGAACTGTTTTTTCTTCCTCAAACTTGCTTTCCCAGGATGCTTTAAAGTAGATTACATTCACAAGCACCAGCAATGCACGTCCATCAATCACACCAGGTGCAAAGAGTTCCTTGATTTTACCTAAAGGGAATTTTGAAACACAGAAGCATTTGTTAGCATTAAGACTCTGGACTGAGATGCTTTTATTGGTCTGTGAACTTAGTTTTTGAAAAACTTAGAAACGCAGTTCTCGGTTTATTCAAAGGACAAAAACAATGTAGTCAAACAAATGGTAGATTCTTCTGCCCTGTAACCAGCCAGGGAGGATGGGGGTCACCAAATTATGTCATGGTATTCTGATCGGCATTTATGGCTGTTTGCAGGAGCAGTTTGTCTGGCCAAGACTTATAGTTATTGCTGCAATTATCAGGCCAGGCATAAAGGCGGGAATAAAAAATATTTTACAGCAAATATATCTTTATCTCATAAATAATTTAGCCAGTAACTTAGTCTAATAAGAGCAGATGGAAGACAAACTACCCTTGAACAGCATAACAGTGAACACAAAGAAATGTGAACAGGTCTTTGCTTTTCCTACCCTGGAATTTCATTTGTTGAACACATACAGGAAAGCAGGGATAGAATAGCTATAGTTTTGCTTTGTTTTACCTTGTGTCTCACTTTCAACCCAAGCATTAATTTTTCTTCTGGCAGCTTCAACAGCACCATGAAAGTCGACTGCTTGCAGCATTGCTCCATACAGTTCCTTGCTACACATTAGAAATTGCTGTAAAGCAAATTAAACATTATGAATTGGTCAAATCTATTCATTATTTACTGCCTTTTGAAAGAAATCAATCTCTTGATAGTATTTTAGAAATGGTGAGGGACCTGTTGAATCTGTAAGACAAATTTCATTTTGGAAATGTCAAGTGTCTGAAGTTTATTCACAGGATCTTTGAAAAAGAGATTCTAATGCATAGGTCAAAAATGTAAATAAGTAAAAAGAAAACCAGAAGAATGAGTCTTGTCATGGGGAACTGCATAACTGAGGTTCGGATAAAAAATTAAAGAAACAGAAAAAGTTCAAGATGAGTTGTTTAATGCTTAAGTATCAAAATAATTGACAGCAAAGATGTGATTACAAGTTAGCCATACCAAGTAGTCTCAAGACCACTCAGTCATTCAGTAGGAAAGGAGCAAGAAGTTCAGCAGAGCAGTACTGTGCATGAACCTGCACAACCTTCCTGGAGACAAACTCTCTCCAAGCTTACTGCTGCCTCAGCTGTCCCTCTTGCAAGACCTGAAGTAGGTGGTTTACAGACAGCTTGAATAGGCTATTTTTTGGCTGTAGGTTCTCCTCTGGCTGAGTGCACACACATGAAAAATGTGCCAAAAATTAACAGATCCCTGCTTTATTTTTGCTCTATAGCCTTTAATGTCCACAGGGTGGTTTGTTTCTGTTTGGTTTTTTGGGGTTTTTTTTGGTTTTTTTTGTTTTGCTTTTGATTTGTTTTTTCTTTTAAATAAAAGCATGGAAAGTTGACAGTCTTGTCTCTTTCCCTCCAGCCTCAAGAGCTATAGCTCCATGTAGCACATCACGTGCTCCAAAACACACACATGAGGGATAACAGTAAGGCTCACAGTTGCAGGGAAACTCGAGGTCATGGCCACAGCAATTAGCAGGTGACTTACCTGCTGGAGCTCAAATCCTTGTTGTATAAAGAGATTGTTGGCCAAGGTTAAAACGTATTTTTCACCAAGGTTTTGTAGTTGCAAAAGCAGCTCCTGGAACACTTTATGGTCAAGGTCTCCCTCCTTGTTACACTGGGAGTAACACAAACACAACAATTAAAATGATTCCTCTGTACAGTTCTGGTTGCTAATTTGCATCTTAACTGGATAACACTATAAGGCTAACTCCTGCTGTACTGATTTTTAAATCCAGCTAGTCCAAGCTTTGTAGCCTGATCCTCCTTTGGATGAGATCACTGAAGGCTTTGGTATTGACTTGCTGGCCCCTAATAAAATAAAACCTTGTATCAGTCATTTCCTAGAAGATTAGGCAGACTCTGAGCATGTGATCTTGACTCCCTCCAGTGGCAAATCCTAGTGTTTTACCTGCACTAACCTACCACGCAGTGAAGGCAGGGCTCCCCACCCAAGGACACACCTCTGAGAAGGAAGGCTGACTCTCCAGGCTTCCTTCTGGCTCCATTTCTGGGGCTGCACTCTCGTGATCAGATCCAAGACTCATTCTTCCTGCAGCTTTCCTGACATGGAGCACCTGCGGGTGAAGATGTCAAGTTATGTCAATTGTAACTGGGATAAAACCATATTCCTTGTTTAGAAGCTTTGCTGTCCCCTACTGGATAAGTGATGTAGATTCACGACAGATGTCTTAGCAGCTTCATTCACCAGCTAAAATGACAGACTTGAACTTGTTCATACATTCATGTTCAGACTCACTTTTCTATATTAACACACCAAGAAGAACTTGCACTTAATCCCTCAAAATGTTGCTCTTCACTGCCTCAAAATGTTTATATTTGACTTGTGTTTTCATTGCTAGTCATCCTAAATTTCAAAAAAAAAAAAAGTTGCCCCAAGTAAAGAGATGAAAATTAATTTTCTTTAAAAACACCAAAACTGGCTTCTTTTCATCATTCTTAACATTAGCATCAGCTTAAGAAATAGATCAAAGCCACAGTGCTCTTAATGGAAACCAGTCCTTGTTTTGCTGTGCAAATACATCGCTGAAAATTTTTCAGCAGTTTTTCTGTTACAATAATGTTGCATCATACATAGATTTACTCTCGTTTTTTAGAGGATACTGATATTGAGCAATTCCCATTGCTTTCTCAAAATAAGCAGGAGTCCCTGTCTAAAGTAGTGATGTGGCAGGGTTATGGTAGCCAGGGGGCGGTGGGGGTGGTCTCTGTGCAAAGAGAACAGACTCAGAGTGTCTGGGTGGGCACTCAGCAGCCACAGCAAAGGTCAACCCACCACACCCTGGTGAGAAGCTCTGCCTTAGGATTATTGGTCTTCTACCACTCATGGTAGAGAAGAAGACAGAGAGAAGAAAAAAATAGAAGGTTGTAGAAAGAAGAACTTGCACTGCAGGAAGTAAAGGCACAGTGACTGGAGGTGTGGTCTTCTTCACCTCCTGCTTGCCCACCTGGGGCTCTGTGGGGTGAGACATTTTGACCCTTGAAAGTCATAAGGACAAGTGAGCTAATGTTTTCAGCCACCCAGGTGCAACCCCTTCAGGTGTCTGCAGCTCTACACAGACTCCCACTCTCAGGATTCTCGTAGCAACCACAAGAGGAAACATCTGCCCATAATTCTGAAATGAAGCCTGACATTCTGCCACAGGCTTGGGGAAAGCCAGAACACCCCACTGTGCTGTATCACCTCCTCTCAGTCAGCCCTTGCAGGGGACAGGATGAGACTCACCCCAGCAGATGGCCCCAAGCACAGCTGTGAAGGCAGCACCCGTGCCTGCCCTTGTCCAGGTTTCCTGTGAGACATTCACACATGTGCCGTGCTGGGATACCCAGCATTTCCTCTGAGGGAGCAGCAAGCGATGTGGAAGCACCTCACCCTGGTTCATTCATACTCACTTTTTCTATCTGAGCAGCCGTGTTGTTTTTTGCACCAAGATGGATCAGGGCCAGGGCAACAGAGATGCTCATAGGAGAGAAGATAATATTTGTGTCCTCTGCACTTCTGTTGAGCTTTTTGTAGAGATCAAGGCAAAACTCAGTAACTGGTCTAGAAATGGAGTCCATCATGAAGCAGCTGCTGAGTGGGAGCACAAAAGAATTAAAAAATTTAGTGCAGCTGGCCTAGCTAGACCACACTGTGAAGCATCTCTCAGCTCTGAGATTGTCCCACAGCTGGTCGTTGAACATAATAGACATTTTCTAAATCCTGAAAGTTTTAATCAGCCTTGCCCCGATGAGTCTATGATGCACAGCAGGAGCAAAGGCACAGAGGGTCTGCAAAAGGGACCCATGCTCACAACATATGTACATTACCCAGAAAGGACCCTTTTAATGCCTTATCCCATGCTGTGTTTTATTTCAACTTATGGTATTGAAAATAGACAGGTATGGATTGACATTTTCCTTCTCCACACTGGTTTGATGCATACACCTGCATCAACTCTTTCCTCTTAACAACATACATCAGTGATAGAGACCTGGTGACAGAAACTAAGCCTGCATATAACCATCAGTGGTAACCAAAGCTGTGGCAAGGGTGTTTCAAACAACAGGTTTCTAAAAATAAAATCACTATCAATTAAATGTCTCCATACATATAAAAGGCTCATTAACACCTATGGAGACTGTACTACATATATACACACACTAACAGTTTGAAATACACTTTTAACTTCTAATAAGTTTTCCAGGAGTCACAGACTGAGGCAGGATCCACAATTAAAAATTCCAAACAAATAGCCCAATAGTCCTGAAAAGAAGTCTGTAAGTTCTTGCTTAGTGATATGACAAGACATGTGTCACTCTCTATTTTTGTAAAAGAAACATTACAGTCTGATAGCTCTCCCACGGGTCATTTACTTTCAATCCACTCCATTTAGAACAAGTTTGGACCAAGTTGATCTTGATCCTTGCAAGAAGGAGGCCATTTAAAAAACAGGCAATTAGAAAATTCTTTCCTGAATCTTAGATCTTAGGCTTAGGAGAATTGTGAAGGTGTTGTGTAGATACCAGTGGGATCACACAAAATTTTCTGGAATCATTATACCAAGAAAAAAAAAAAAAAAAAAAAAAACTGAAAAACACATCCCTTTCAGTATCAAATATTTTGGACAAATAGCACTGGTCTGTATTCCAGAAAGATTATTTATTTAGGGGAAAATACACAGCCGCAGTATGGTGACAAGTCCTTCATGTCTCCCATGGCACAGATCTGGCTGGCTCTATCTTTCAGCCTGCACTGGGACCAGCATGGATCAGGTCCAGGGAAAGCTGCCAGAGTTCCTCTCTTTTGGAAAAAGGAGTGAGTGCACAACCAAGTGGTTCTCCCCAGTGCCCACAGACAGCCACAGCACAGCAGGCACTCTTCCTCAGCCCTGTCTGCCCTGAAGCTGTAGCCTGCAAGGTTAGGTTACATGAGAAGCTCCTGTCCATGTCACCAGAGGTTAAAGGTGGGAAGAGGCTGGTGCAAAGCTGAACTTCTGGATCTTTTATCAGCAGGACACTTGTACAGCCTGTCCTGGGCTGTTGCTGCCCCTCTGTGACCTGTCTTGAGCCCTCTGGGGAAGGGGTTACCTGGTGCTGGGGACCTGCAACCCATTCCAGCCAAAACTCTCCTGTCAGCCTCCCACTGAGGCCCCAGTTCAACCACAGCCACAGCTCCCTCCCCTCACAGAGACTCTGACCTTCACAGAGTTCTCTTTATGCAAAGAGCTGCTCAAAATGCATTGCACTGTTCTCAAGATGCAGCATGCATGCTCTCTCCAGCTCAGCCACAAGCCAAGCATGACTTTGCATGGAAAGCTGGGTCTCAGGCGCCAGAAGTTACCAGGGCATTGGGAGCTGATATGGCTCAGCCAAGGTACGACATTTGTGTGTGAAACCTTCCTCACCTGCAGCAAGTGCCAGACAGTGGGAATGAACTCAGCCCACAGGAAAACAGAGTGAGCCTAAAACAAACTGCTGCAGAGGCTTGGAAGAGATGAAAAAGTAAAGTTTCTGAATATATGAAGGTACAATGTGTGGCAAATGCAGACATTCCTTTCCATTTGACTTACAACTTAAGCAACAATTAATGCTTCATACTGTTTCTGAGTGATGCTCTGTGGAAAAGAACCTGTGATGCTGAAAGAAAAGCTCATAGATGTTCCATACTGAGACTTTTGCTTTGCTCTGGAGTCCAGAAGTACTTCATATAAAGACCTAATGCAAACGGACAAAACAGATGAGAAATACCAAAGGGTTCTTTGCACAGACAAATTAAGGATGAGTTTTATCTCATTTATTCTGTACACAGCTGTTTTAGCTCTACTATTAGTGTATTTTTATGTAATATGGTTTTAATTTTTCTTTTAATAATGCAGTAATCTTACAACAAGACATTGCACAAAACAATTTATCTTGTTTTCCACCTTCATATCCTACTATCCACAACCTTCTGAAAACAAAACAGTGCCTTTTCAGGGCTGATGTTTGTAGTGCTATAGTTCCAGATCTCTTGAAAGATCTGAAATGGAGCTGTGATTTCGGACACAGTGAATGTAGGGCATGAGGCACTTTGTAGGTGTGCCCCACCTTCAGACCGAGTCAAGGAGGAAAAAAAAGAGTTAATAATCTTACTCAGTAGGAAGAAGGCAGCTCCACCCCACCCTGCAGGGAAAGGCTGAGTGCCAAGAATGGAGGGAGAGCCCAGGATCTGGGAACAGGTTTTCAAGTGAGTGTCTGGCACACTGATGTGGCCACTCCTTCAGCAAAAGCAGCAGGCTGCCACCAGGGAGACATCCAGGTGCAAACACTAGGGCCAACTCCATGGTTTTGTGAGCAGGAACTGCTTAGAGAGCTGCCCTAGAAATCCAGAGGAAGAGAGGGCAAGTATAGGCTAGTGAAGGAACTTTCTTACTTCACAATGAAAGGATTTAGTGAACTTCCTTAATCTAAAATGGGGTGGGAGCAAGTGTATGAATGGTTCCACACCGCAAAACCTTCTGTGTAACCTGAGCAATAATTCAATCAGACTTTTGGAGCTGCTGCAAGGATCACAGCGTTTGGAGAACATCTACATGGTGGACAGCAAATGGTAATGTCACTTTTAAATAATCTTGGAGTGTAAGGAGGGATGATACAGGATCAAAAAGAGTGTTCCAGAAAGTTCCTAGATGCTGATCTGCACTAGCCAAAGCACCTGTGCTGAGCGTTATTGGTAGTGCAGAGCCGCTGATGACAGGAGATCCTTTGCATGATGGTTCAGCAACTTTTAACATAGTCTGTCAAATGAAATTACTGGCACTGCAGTATGTGAGCAAGAAGCTACCCAGGAAAATCGCTTCCTTTAGAAGAAAGCACTGCATACCACAGACCTCATAAAAATGACAAACTTCCTCCATGGCTGTGTGAAATGATGAACACTCCTTTTCTATAACTATTCATGATCCGGTCTCTCTTTATAGTTTGTTTTTGGCTAAGGTTAGATGAAATCAAAACAAAAACTATCAAAGAATAAAGAAACCTGTGCTGAAAGCTGTCACAATTAATGGTTGTGTTAGATTATATTATTCAGCCAACAGAAGGAGGCAGTAAATTGGGTGGAGAAGGTAAGAGACCTGTAGCCTTGCTGTTAAGGTAATTCTGTATTTCATACAAGTTAAGTAAGAAGGAACCTGTTTTGCCTGATGCCACATGATAATTCCCATTGCATGTTTGACTTATTCAATCTGCATCCCATTAAGGTGCCTTAATATGCATTCATTTCTCATGCACAGAGGGAAATAAAATTGGCAGAAATTACTTGGTCTATCCTAGGAAAAGACAACATGACAGATAGTGCTGTCCCCTCACATGAAAATTGGTAGAAGTGACTTTCTTATTTTTCATTACCAAACAAAAAATAAGTTTCCACGTGTTTCTGTGCTGATTTGGAATGAAATGGACAAACAGCACATAAGAAAAATTAAATTTCCTATAACGCAGCAATTCTGATCATCCCTAAGTAGCACAACACATGCTTTAAATTAAAAACCAACACATTTCAGTACAAAGCACCTTTTCAAGCGAAATGGTGCCAACTTCATTTTCCAAACAACCTAGCCTCTCAGTAGGCTACTTTTATGTCAGAAAGCTTTTTCTTTACTGCTTTTATTAGTTTGCATCAGCCTCTCTGGTATCTTCTGTACCTCTTTCTAAGCCAGTTATTTCTGCATAAACAGGCATGGATGTGCATTGGCCTGTTACAGGCTGTAAGGTGGCAAGTTATTTGCTGTGCCTGTGTGCAGCCTGCACAGGCTTCTCTGCAAGCTTCTAAACAGCATTGCCAAACCGAGGAGCTCATATTTTAATAGCAAAGACTAGCACCCCCACTAACAAAACAAAATCTGAATGCCACTCCACCCTTTCTCTTTTATAGCGTCATTGTTTAAGAACATAAACAACTTCCCTGGTACTGGGGATCAGTGTAAAGGGGAAATGCCTTAGAATCCAGCCAAAGGATTGCCTGCCCTCTCTCTCTTCCAGAGAACATTTCAAGGCTTTTTCTTGTGCCATGGAAATGTGAGTAAAGAAGGAAAAGTAACTGCATTTCTCAGGCAGTGGGTCATGTTGCCCAGGTCACCAGCACCATCACTTTATATGAAGCCTGTTTCTACCAGAGTGAGTAGAGGTGCTCTGAAAATGCCTGGAATACTTCAGCCCTTCTGGAGAGACAGGCAGAAAAGCATCTACTTTCTCATACAACCCACTGAACTCATCAGTCTTGTGGCAATTAGACTTTACTGGGTGGACAGAGAGGTTTTGGGGAAAATTCAGATTCAGAAGCCTGTGAAATTTAGGCAAGAATCCTTAGATGTGTCCCTAAAATCTTCATACATGTCCCACTGAAGACCAGCTCCCTTTGTGTGAGCTCTGAATTTTAGCCACCTGTATTTTAGCAGTGTGGTTTGCTGCCTGCAGCATGTAAAGGTATCTCTCTTTCTGCCCAATATGTAAAAATTATGTTTACTTTACCAGCCTGTAGAGTATTTTGGATCAGGGCAAAAACAAAGGGAAAAAAAAAAAGGAAAAAAAAATCATAGTTATTTTGAAAAAAAAAAAAAAAGAAGAAAATAACAAAACAACATAGAATTTTTACCTTCTTGCCTGAAGAGGTTAAATGAAGAAGACAACAGCTGAGTTCTGGAGCACGTTCCTGTGAATACTGTATTTAAGAAATCTCCCACTCTCCTGTGGGAAAGTTCAGCCTCTAACCAATAATTGCTGATAGCAGCATCTTGCTGCTCAATGCAAATGCCATTACTATGAGAAAGAAGAATGAGAAACCTATATCTAGCAATACGCTATTAGCATTTCTCTCAAGCTGCCCAACAAGTCTGGCAGGCAATATCTGCTGGCAACATCTCCTGATTGCAATGTCAAGCCACTCTCAGCTGGAAGACTGGTCATTAACCCTAAGAAGACCCTTGACTGCACTGCTGTGCTTAGTCCCTTTCAAATTTTGATGGGGTCTGGCCTGGACAAAGGTGTGTGCAGGGTTCATGCCAAGATTGATTGGAGCTGAGCTTGCTTGCAGAGATAAAGGAAATGAATGGGAAATGCATGAGCTTTATGTTGCCTACAGCCATCTCTCCCTCTCAGGTAAGGAGCTGGCTTTATATGCATGGAAGGAGATTAATTAGAGAAGGGAAGAAATATTTCCTTGAACTGTAACAGGAATCCCCAGCCAGGGGGTATTCTTTTAAATCTTAAATCACTGGAGTTAAGAATAAAAGAAGGCCAGGAGTGGTTGATCACTGAGGTTAGGTCTCCAGCATAAAGTGAGAAGGAAGTAAAGAGATGGGAAGCATGGAGCTGCAATAGCACAGTGTTTGATCTCTAATCAGTACCACTGAACTCAGCTGCAGCACTGGGTTATGGCAGCTGGACTTACAGATCAGAGCTAAACCAGGGTTGTATGTGGCTTTGCAACACCAAAAATGTTATGTCTTTTCTCTCTCACCTCTTCTTTCTTCCTACAAAGCACAAAACTGGCTTTGGATTCATAGGGTACTTATGGGATCAAACACGGTAAGCAGGAAAGAGGAACAAGGCACCTAAGCACCATCTTGCCCTACCCATGCTTTCCTTCCAGTGCAGAAGCTGGACCATCCTCTTCTTTAGGCACAGCAGTGTCCAGCTTTGCTGTTCCCCACTCCTCTGCCAAGGTCTCAGCCCAGCTGGCCAAGCTCCAGTTCTCCAGTACCCATCTGAAAATAGGAATCCATAAGCAATGGAAGACACAAGGATGAAATAACCATTCTCATTACCTCTGGTTTTTCCTTGCTTTTTTGCTTCCATTTGCCATTCACTTTCTTGTTTTTGTTTTTTCTTCCTGCATGTTCCTGTAGTGCTCTCTAGTCTTCTTTCTCAGTTCTTTCTTTCTTTATTTTTAAATGTATTTATTTATTTATGAACATTGCCTTACCATGTATCTTCTGATGCTTTTCTAGTCCATGCGTCTTTTCAGTGACAACCTAAATATTTTGAGTATCTTGCAAGATTTTCCTTCTTCCAATTTCTGTGTTTTCTCCCTTCCTTCTATATTGACATCATTCCTCCACTGATTTATTTTGCTTGCTCTGTCATAT